ATTTTTCACCTAGTATAAACTTCTATTTTCTGTTCAGAGCAGATCCAAGCAAAACCTGGAACCTTCTAATCAACACTGTGTGTTCAATAAGTTATCTGAAATCTAAGTTCAATTACTCTAAGTATCAATTTTGTCAAGCTTACACATCTCTTTTTGTACATTTAAAATAAAATACAATTAATAATTTAGGAGTAAGGTAACACTCCTAGAATCCTTATCATAGTCTTTTCCTCATAATCCCAACTCCAATATTGCAATTTTCAAGTTATGACAGTAGAACTGAAGAATTTAAGTCTATAATTTATACAATCTCATCTGGTTTCATTTATTTAATCACACATTTTAAGTTCCCTATCAGCTCTACTAAGATCACAGAGAGAAGAATCTTAGATTTTGCTATAAAATAGCATTAAGCATTCAATCTTATCCTCTAACCTTCCCAGAGGTGTGGACTCTTTCAGTGACATCTTTAATGACAATTGATGTAAAATTAGAGCCAGCAGGCTCTCAATAGATTACTGTGATAAATGATCAGCAAAGTAAAAACATAGCTTCATACCAGAAAAGAGAAGATCTATAAATAGTAAAAAAGGTATGAAATAAAGGAATTCAAAGTTATAAACTAAACATATGTAAAACTTGGATCTTAAATTTTCTATTTCTTTTTTTATCAAGTTCAGTTGCTTGTACCAAGCCTGCATCCAATCTAAATCTGGTTGTTCAGACAGATAATGAACTTACCAGCTTCCTACAATAAGAACCAAGGAATTCAGTTCTTTCATTGGAAGGACATGCCTTAAGGCTTTCAGCAAATTACAGCCTCGACCAGGCTCCAGCTCTTGTATCCACTGTCTTGCTTCATGTAGCCTAGGAGAGGGAAAAAAAAAAATAATATTTAGGCTCTAAATAAGACAGATCACAAAGATTACTACAAACCACAGGAGCAGCTAAAATATTTTATATGTGTAAACCATCTTGAAACCACTGACCACATGCCAAATTCATTGCTTTTCTCCCCTCCTAAAAACACTGCAGGCACAAGATTAAAAACACTATTACCTACAAGAGATTGCTCAAATAAAATGGAGACCTTGTTTGAAACAGCTTGATTTTTCAGAGAAATTAACTTACTTACACATGAACATTGATGATTTTTGGACTCTCCCACAGCAGTGAAATTTCTGTACTGAATGAGAGGCAGTACAACTGCTTCTTATAACAAAGTTGCTCATCTATTAAGCACTAATAAATAAAAAATTACAAATGCATTACTATCCATGGTGCTTTTGGTAGGGTTATTACGTAAAATACTAAAAATAGGAATTTCTTAAAAATAGTTACAGCGATATTTTTATCTATCACTAAAAATAGGCTTCTAAGAAAAAATCATAGATATTCAAATATTTGGTAAGGCTAGAGAGAAGACCTGCAAACTTATGGCATTCCAACTAATTTGTTAATGAGGCAGGAGGCAAGGATATTTGTTGTACTGGTACCAGTTTTTCTCTTCAGTTGAGGACCACGTGAAACAGCAGTGATCTAGAATACCCACCAAGCAATTTTTAAAAAATGGTTAGCATGTAATACTGGCTAGTGCTAAACAATAGTTCAGATATTGAGGCTAAGCAAACCAGACTATGTGGAAACTGAGTTTTCTTGAAGGAGTTTTATTTGAAACACACAAATAAAATTACAGCTGCTTTTGTTAGGCAAGTTTATTCCATAGAGAATGTGGATAGAATTGAGAAACTTTAACAATAACACTTCCCTTAATAATATTTTGAAGTATATACTGGATTTGTTTTGATCTGAACATTAACAAATACTACACTTTCAACAACATTCAGAGCATACTTTTCTACAATAGAAAATATCTATTTTATTGTATATTAAGATTTTAAGCAATTTTTTTTCTATTTGGTTCCTGGCTTCTAGTTTCACAAAAGCTTGATTAGTATGCTGAAATTGGCAAAATTTGCTTTATTATTACTTACCAAAAGGTTCTTCTGAAAATCCAGTAGTCTAGGTCCATAACTCAAATGAGACACATCAACCAAAAGTCCAACTTTAGTTCCTTTTATAACACCGAACACCTTAGAAAAGTCACTGTAAATATTAGCTATCTACAGTTCAATAATTTTACTATTTATTCTGTACAATACTATTTTAAAACCAAGTATAAGGTATTTATTTTAATTTTAAATGTTTTAGCATGAAGATGACATGGTGACCAGGCCAAGGAGGAAAAGAAGAAGGAAA